AAGCCAGTGCCCTCATCGATGATGTTGAGGAAGGAAAACTGAGTATTCGCTGCATCGCGGCAGCAGAAGACATCCAAGGAGAGGTGGTTGTTGAAGGTGTAGGAACCTGGAAGCTTGACCGGCTTTGGTCGGCGTCGACGGATGCTCTCACCACATGTGTGGCAAGCCATGAGGTTGGCGGCTCGCAAGGCAGCTGGTTTTGCATTCTGCCTGAAGGGTGCCCAAAGTTCACGTGGAGAGTCCGGAGGGTCTTTCTCAAGTCAGGCTCAACTTCCAGCCATTCTTGCCGACGTTGCACTTCGGTCTTGTCAAGGAGTGGATCTAGTCCAGCAGCTGCGTGAGAGCGGTACTCTGCATCGGAGACCTCACCTGTGATTTCATCATCGTCCAGAGGAAGTGGTAGAGTAGATCAGGATGAGTACTGGTCTACGAGAACAGCTTGAGGTCCTCTTTTGCGAGGTCGAAGTCTGCGGGCTTCAGAAGGGAAAGCTTCATGGGTGTTCTTCACCGCATTGACCTCGATCTCTCGCTGATGCATGATGGTGGTCAAAACCATTTCGTTGAGCTGATGGGGCCAAACAGAAGCTTGAGCTGTCTTGCTGCCATAGGTGTTGCGTCCTTCAAGATGTTCATGTTCATGAGAGCCATCGCAACGACAGTCAGCGAAAACGCTCTCGGCAGCGACCATGCTGGTGATGTAGTGGCTTGGCTTCTTGTTTGGAAGGCCACTTTCGGCATCTTTATAGCCAACTTGACCACCATCAACGATGATGTAGAAGAGGGTGCCATTGTCGACCATGGCCTTGACATCCTTCATCTCGGGCTCATCGAGGCTTTGGGAACCCAGTGGGTGCTCCAGGAACACATGTCTCATGGCACGGACTCGGTCCTTAACAGTCTTGTTGACCGAGCGGGGGAGGCTACGGTTCTCTTCTCGAAGATGCTCAACAGTTTCTTGTGCAGGACCGCTTTTGGCAAGGTTGAAGCGGGACCAATTTCCCCACGGACCGCAGGGGTGAGTGATCACAGTCAGGTCGGGGTCCTCACGCATCATATCATGGTGCAGCTGCTTCTTGCCAAGTGACGTGGTCGCATCCCAGCCGCTGATGTTGTAGTCCAGGGGGACGCCACAGGCCATGCCAATCAGGGCTGCGAGAAGAGTCAAGCCCATCTGTCCGGCAAAGAGTTGCTTGATCCAGCATCGACCAAAGTGAGGCTGTCGTGGGATCTTTGAGAGTTGCCCTTGGAGGACACGTCGGTGAAGGAAGTCTTCATCTTCAAGAGCTTGCTCCATGCCGCAGATGCGCTTCCATTTCTTGTTGGTGGTCTTTCGGACACGGTACTCTTTGGAAGCAATGTCGGCGAAGAGCGTTTCATCATCGCACACGAAGTGGCATTCATCATAGCCTTGAACATCCATTCTCATCATGGCGAGGATGTCCTGATGGTCCTCGAACTCATCGGGATTGAGACCACAGTAATCGTTGGTGTACTCATGAGGTGCCGTGCTTTCCAACCAACTGAGATATTCAGGGTCCTGAGCAGGATCAAACTGACCAGGAGGCTGTTCTTCGGGTGCCTCAGACGGTTTCTGGTTCTCCTTCTCCTCCTCAGACTCGCTCACGAACTCATCGAGCTTGTCCGTGTTGAAGTCCAAAAGGTTCAATGCCAGGATGACCCTTTGAGGTCTTGCACATTGGCATGTTGTGGACGTTGATGGCCAGGAAGGAGATGGTCTGGTCAGCCAAGTTGATCACTGCGCCCAATTCCTCCATGAAGAGACGGCTCAACAACAGAGGCGTATTGCCGGGTGTCTCGGCTGAGTGGATCTCACCGTGAACCTTGTAGATGCCCACGGGGAAGACACGCACGTGTTTGGACTCAATCTTTCCACCGATGCCCTTGAAGATCAGGCTTCTTGAACTCTTTGATGAAGAGAGACCACGGGCCAAAAGTTCTTTCTCCATCTGATCGGCCCAGGACTTGCCATGCATGGTCCTTGTACATCCGGAATTGAGGATGGCCATGCCAGGTGTGGTCTTCTGCTGAGAGGGCGAAGCTTTCGTCGGTGGAGACCATCATACATTCACATTCGTGTGGCTTCACAGTGTTTGGGTCGTTGATGTCGTACTGGATGGGTGCCACGATCTTCCGGAGACCATGAACATCATCAGGCTCAGACGCTCGTTTCCCCTTGGCTTCTCCTTCTTCACGGGTAGGGCTGACCATACGTTCAGCAGCAGCCTTGACCAACCGGAGACGGCCGTAGAGGTAGAAGGCGAGGCGGAAGATCTCGGGCGAAGCAGACTCATTTCCGAGCACATGACCCGTCACTGACTTGCAGTAGTGCTCACACATGATGCTTTCTGCAACCTCGCAGAACCGGTAGCCTTGAAAGGGGCCTCCGTCGTTCACCAACTCACCATCGTGTGGAAGAGGCTGCAAGATGTCCATGTCATCGGCATCGAGAGTCGGGATCTCAGGCAGTGGAGTGTCTGCTGCAATCATGACACCATAGAGCCAGACACGCTGTCGTGATGCACGCACGATCTTGGCGGTCCGTGCTTGCAGTGGTGTGCTGTTGCCATAGCCTGAGGGGGTTGAAGCATCAACCAAAGACCAGCCTTCGCCAGTTGCATTGGACGGTGAAGAGGGCGAAGGTGTCGGTGATGATGTGATCTTGGTGCCTCGTGCAGCTCTGCTCTGAGCGGGCGGCTCAGATTGGGTCTTCAGGTAACGGACTTCTCGATCATACTCATCGCGAACTTGTCCGACACGTCGGTAGAGACCTGCAGTGCCAAACTTCGTGCACATGAGCACCTGGATGAAATAGGACCACATTTCAACTGGCTCTTTCCTATGACCCACGATGACAGACTTTTCACACGAAGGCTCCTTGCAGGTGATGAACCTACAGTAGTGTGGCCATTTGCTGCACGGTGGAATCGGTTGAGGCATGCTCGCAGAGCTTGGGACAGTTGAGAGCGACCAGGGCCTCTGCATCATCAGTGGAGTCGTCGCAAACATGGCTGAATGCGACTCGCTTTCGGCGCTTGACCTGCCGACTGGCATCGGTGATCTTCACATCGGGCTCCTCAGTGACCTTGACATTCTGGAGGGTGTAGCGCGCAAGCATGAACATGCCATAGGACACTTCAGGATCGGCGTCCAGGTCGGTGCCATAGATGCCAGCAGGGTCGTACGAATTCTGGAGAGGCTCAACTCTTCCGGGACTTCGGAGGCTTCAGGGACCATGTGATACTCAAGCAAATGGAGGCCTTCAGTCATGTAGCATTCTGAGCCACCGTCCGGAGAGTCAGGGGTGGACTGCTCGGCAAGGGAGGAATCTTCGTCCTTTGGGCTGTGGTGCGCAAACATGGTAGTGGCGATCTTCTGAGGTTTCTTCTTTGGAGAGCCACCTTTCTTGCCCTTTCCCTTGCCCTTGCCAGAAGACGGACATTCGGGATCTCCTGCCCAGTGCCCTTTCTGGTGACAAACGGTGCAAGGCGTCACCGATTTCAAGAGCTTCACGGCAGTCCGCCGCTGGTCACAAGCCTTCTCGGAAAAACTCATCTCCCCTTTGGCCGTGAATCCGACCGGATGAGACGCACCTGTAGTAGCGCTCGATGGAGTGGTAGATCTCGATGAAGTGCCAAACTTCTTCTTCTTCTTCTTGTTGAACCGGTGTTGAGCGACTGTGGCATAGGCCTCGGCGACTTGGTGATCCTCGGACATATCAGGAAACTCATTGAGCAACACGTCCATGATGTCATCGTCCGAGTAGCCTTGGTGGTAGGCTTCGTCACTGTCCCCTTCACCAACGTGGTCGCCCTCATCCTCGTAGTAGGCATCATCATCATCTTGCTCGTAGCCGGGCTCGTCCTCAACAGCCAGGATCTGCCTGGACTTACCTTCGAGGCGTTGTTTCCATCGGAGCTTCATCAGGTGCTGAGGGAGATGACCACCACCAGTGGAGCGAGCACCCAGGTAGTCACGGCGCACAACCTGCTTCCCGGCGGCATTGGGAAACTGGATCCTCATTGCATGGGAGATCTTGGCGAAGTCGTACTCGTTGTTGCAGGAGCTGCGAACCGAAGTTTGCTCCTTTGGATCCAGGCCGCCAAAGCAAATTCAGCATCATAGCCCTAATCTGCTCTGACACCTGAGTTCCGGCGTTGTTCTCCTCCAATCTCTTGAAGTCCTGCTCACGGCGAACGATGTATTGTTGCATCGTCTCGGAGCTTCGCCGCCAGACATTGGGGCTGTAGAAGGCTTGGAAGAACAACTCGCTGGTTTTGACTGGCAGCTCTGCTGCAATGGAGTCCTTAGAGTCTTGAGCAGCAGCTTCATTCCCTCCGCGGTTGGCTTGCCCTCGGAGGTCTTGGTCTTGAGCTTTCCATGTTCCAGCTTACGAACTGACTCGGCCAGCCCGGAGGTGGACAGGCGTTGAGATCTGTAGGGACTCTTGGCCTTCTCTGCCATGGAAAAGGTCCCAGGCCCGCTCCTCGTACTCCTCGAAGAGCTCGGCCTCGCCGCTGTACTGCGGCACGCCGTGGCGATCCGTCAGGATGCTGCCACTCACATAGGTGGACATGGCCTTCTCGGTGTCCAGCAGGATGCCGAAGGCGAAGGCGAAGATGTAGCGCTGGAGCCCACGAGGACGCCAGCTGCCAGGCGGAGGAGCGCAGGCGCAAACGCAACCAAAGGTCGCGTTCAGCGGCCGCCGGAACTTAATCCGGCTCCGCTTACCATCAAAAGCGGCACGGCGGCGCGGACGCTCGAGGTAGCGCTTTTCCTTGAGGCTAAGAGCGCTCTGGTATGCAAAAGCTGAACCCTCATGCCTGTGGAGCTATCGTGCTATGCTGCTATGCTGATTCTGCATGTCCGATTCTGAAAGGATATTTGTCCAAAGACCGGGCGGCCGACCCAAGGTTCTACACCAAGATTCACAGAAAACAAACAAAAGTGGGCTCGAACCCACCCAGACCAGAGGCACCCACCTCACACAAAGCAGCATCCAAGCAAGTGGAGACAGCCTCTGCCAATTGGTCTTTGATGGGTCGCAAGGACTCCTGTGCACAAACGTCTCCTTTCTCGTACTGCTCTAGGGCATAGAGGAGCAAGGCCGGAGGATCATAGCTGCCGATGCTGAAGATAGCTTCCACACTGTGTGGCACTCTTTGAACGAATTCAATCTTGTGTGTTCCCATCACTCTGCAACCATCACATTCAGAAACCAAATGCAAGGGTGCATCATATTGATAGGGAATCCAGTCGTTCCTCAGCCATCGTTGGTATATAATGGTATATATAAGTATTGTATATGTATGTATACATACATATATATATATATATGTATAGGGCATAGGGCATAGGACAGGGTCCCGTTCACCGGGACAAATGCCCCCCGGTTGAAGGTGTGTGTGTGTGTGTTTGTGTGTGTGTGCTTCGCAAAAAGCTCATTGGAAAGAGCAAACCTACAAAGCAAAACCAAAAAACGAAACGTCGCAAAGAGTCTGAGGGCCACCCACAAATAGAATGTGCTGCAAACCTGCACGCGCCAGCGTAAGTTGCTCTCCACCCAATCACTCTATCTACTCACTGCCATACCTCTTCATACAAGATTGGACGAGACGCTGTTGTGGTCTGAAGGGGCAATCAAGTACAAGGCAATGCAATCGTCTCCGCCTTGTGTATGATCTGCACAGTTTGGCGTCCAAGAACAGTGACTGACAATGGGCAACACTAGCTTGCTGAGCTAGGGACACCATACCATTTGCTTTGGCTTCTTGATGCGTTCAATATTTGCAACGTCCTAGAGTCTTTCAGCGGTCACACATGCACCGACATGGAGCTTCAGCTCACCGTTCCATAGAGCCAAGGAGCGAGGACTTTCAGCTCGTCACTGACAGCTACAACCTCAGGGGCTGGGCTGGTGGCCCTACAGGAAGCCGCTTCGATTGACCAACGTGTTGCTCTTGGGTGCTTGAACAAGCGGCCTTGAACACGCCTTTGGTGCTCAAGCATGCCAGTAGGCGGCCACTGCTCGACAAAGAGAAGGCCATGAAGGGACCGTCTGTCAGGCCAATATCTCCTTATGGGCATTGGTCAAAAAATCTGGCAATTTAGCATTTCAGCACTTCTGTATTGGCATACCCTCTACCTGCATGCAAAGCATCTGGAGCTGTGCCTGCAGTACCAGGCTCTCTAAATGGAAGCAAGTGTTAGCAGTAGTATACTTCTAGTGGTATCAGCATCAGGGCTTACAGAATTAGTAACTGCAGCCATAGAGTGCAGAATCTGGAACTCAAAACTCCAATACCGACTCGGTGAGATTGAGAGGCCTGTCAACCATGAGAACCGGCCCTTCGGCTGTTCCAACAATCACCTGCACATCCTCAGCATAAGACCAGGCTGAGATTCTCTGTACAACTGGCAAACAGTTTGTAAATCAAATAGCTCTACAAAGGTAAATTGGACAGGCCACTGCAGACTCCTCTGAAGGTGGTGGCAAGGCGCAAATGCAGAGAGGAGCCTTAGCTCCAAGAGAAGGCTTCACTGGTGTCACTGGAACGGTCAGATAATGTTGAGAAAAAGAACGTAACCTACTAGTTAGCTTCTTGCTACTAGTGGCGATGGCCTCCAACCTACTAGCGATTGCCTCCCTAGTAGTTTCTTGCTAGTAGTAACTCATGTTTGCACCTTGCCAAGGCTTGCTGAGGTGCACTGGGAACCCTGATGTCTGCAAAGCGATGGCAGGCCTTGGCTTTGCCAACTATAAGTCCTCTACGGGCTCTGTGCTGCTAACTCGTTTCCTTCTACAACGTCCTCACCAAAACTGGAACAACACGTGACATCACGGGATTTCACTCCATCTCCATGCATTCAGGAGACATCCTCTGAGCGAGTGAGAGAGGTATTCACAAACAGACTGAACTTTCTGGTCAGCACAGCCTGGAGCAGGGTCTCAGCACTTCTCTGAGTTTCAACAATGCGAATCTCATGGCTCGTTAGCATGCAGTCTGTAGCCTGCAATGATTAGGCCATTGTGCCCAATATTACTGGGAACAACATGCATGCGCCAGTTCTGCAAAGAAACAACTCCGGTAGGCCACAATGATGCCATAGTGGCACCACCTTCGGACTTGATGCGCTCGTCGATCGTAAATACATGCAGGGGCTCACACATCACGGAGAACCTTCGTTGGAAGGACTGGACGACAACTGTGAGAAGCGTGACCCCATTGCTTCAGATTGACTCCAACTCACAATGCAAGCTTCAAGGATTTGAGACAGCCAGGACACGTTCTGATTAACCCAGATTCAAAGACACAAACCTAGACAATCAAGCAATAGTCGGGACAACTCTCTCCTTCTCTCCGTCTCTCCTTCTCTCTCTCTCTCTTTCTGGCAAGCATGACTCGTCAGGACAGCTCTAACTCTACCTATTGAAATGCTAAGTTCGAATCCAAGGTCTCTTGTGCACTCCATCCCATCGTCACTAAGCCTCAGAACATCTGTACACCCACCACTCCCTTTGCCTGCAGAATCTCACCCTGACCTCAGCCGTTAGAGCCAAGATGCCAGTGTGCACCCATGGGGCCGATTGAATCAAACGGCCAGCTGCAGTCCAGGTTTGAAGATGAGTCTGCAAACTTCCCTTGACCGGCTGGAATACATGCCTCAGGTCTGGGAATGCCAGAAATTCTCAACCTCATACTTTCACTTCAACCAAGCAACTCATTCCTCACGGTTGCCACAGGCCTCGGTCCATCTGACTTTACTTTCTACTTCCTTTGTGCCCCCCGCCATAGTTCTCAGCATTCCTGACACCTTGATGCGGTTAAAAGGCCCACCGTAAGGGGCGCCAGCTGCCACACACAAATGCAATCGCTCCGGATCATCTGTCCATTGAGCTGGATAGACCTGTCGCGAGCGGTGCGCAAATCGCCACAAGTCAGGGAAGCATCGAAGCGGATGTCCAGCGAACCTCTGGCTTGCGGTACCACAAGTCCGCGAGCCTCGAATGGAAACCAGGTCGGCCACAAAGCTGTTCTTTACTAAAAGGAAGAGAAGCAACACATGAATATCTAGTGCAGTTCCGAAACTTCTGCCAGTCGGAGCTCATCTGAAGCTAGGCCCATGAGGCAAAGCTGTGACAGTCCCACAATTGGGGTCAGACATTATCAAACACGTTCTTTTCAATCAAAACATGTGAGAATGGGTCAGTGACCAGATAAACAGTCTGTACGCAGCAAACTCTAAGAAGCAGGGTGAACTGCTACCATTGTTTGGCATGATTAGAGAAGTCAAAGATGGTAAAGAAAGTATCGTGTTTTCAAAATCCTTGGCACGTTCTTTTGGCCCAAGGGTTTGTCGGCGAGGTGAGGTCATTTTGTTCTTGACGTGCTCAATGCGTCATTCCAAGTGACAATGCAACCTCCACGGTCCACCGCCCGAAACCGCACCTTTTTCATTGCTGCCTCCACGGTCTTGTGCACATGCGTTTCGAGGGGCCCTGTGTGGGACGTGAAGGTCCTTGGGCGAGCCTTGCTGCTGGAATGTTCCCCTCCAGAACGTCAAACTCGCCCAGGCCCGAGTCAAAGTAGAACTTCATCTGTAGAAACTCTTGGCAATGCAAGAGCCAGGCTCGCACTGCTCCATCAGCTAAGTTGCTTCGCCAATCCTGGTAGTTGTCGTTGTCGAGGAAGCGGCAATTTCGGCGATAGGCGCATTTGATGGTCATCTCATCATCTGCACACTTGTGCCGGTGGCCCAATAGCCGTGGAGTCAGCTCAATACTTTCACACATGGCTGAGATGTCTCCCGGCACCTGGTTCACTTCCCGACCATTCTCAGCACCGTGAAAGTTTTCAAAAATGACTCCAATCACTCGAAGGCCCAGTTTTTGAGTCAGGTGCGACACACATCTTCTCACCCCTTCATAGTCAAAGAGATAATCTTTTCCCTTGACTCGCTTCAGGACTCGATCCCCGTAAGTGGCCCCCACGTTGGCAAAGTTCACCACTACCCTGTCCAAGTCATAGGGCCTCCCCTCGTTGTCAACGGCTTGTGGCCCATTCGGCACTTGAGGTGAACCAGGCCTTGATGTGAAGCCAGAAGGAGGCACCGACGGGGGCATGGGAGGCGGACGGGGGACTGGAACAGACATGTTCATGTTCACTGCAGCTTCTGGCTGGCCTGAACCATTCTCCAAGCTGCCACTGGAACCGGCCCTGCGTGGGGCCGGAATGCGTTTGATGGTAGGAGTGAACTGCTTCCAATCTGCGGCCTTGCTCTCTTTGTAGCCTGGAGGAGGGTGATCTGGAGGGTGTGGCCCGTCCACATGCCGCTCTGCGCGCTCTGTGTTGAGCTTTTGATTGTCTAACTCCTGCAGCTGCTGCAAGGTCTGTTGTACTACAGCCTGCCTTGTGCTGGCGGCACCACTTGTGCCAAATGTGGCACCTGTGCCTTTTTTACCCACAGGCGTGTATGGCTTGTATGGCTTGAGAGGGCCCTTTTTCGGCTCGAAAGGTTTTGGAGGTTGTGGAGGCACCGGTGCGGCCATTCCTGGTTTGGAAGCTCCTTCTGCCCCTCCGCCCTCCAGAGTGGACCAAACTGCCTCAAAGTTTTTCTGCTCCACAATTTGTTCAGTCTCTCCCGCGCTAGTCACGCTCACCCGGATATCCTGCACCGATGTGGCTTCAGCGGCATCTGAGACTTGGAATGCTGTCGGCAGTTGCCGCAGTATACTGCAGAGTTCTTCAGGCAATTGAGCCACTGGTGTATTCCGCTTTTGGCTAAGGTGACGCAGGAGTTTGGGCACCTTGCCCTGTGTGAGCAGCCTTCTCATCGAGGCCCGCTTTCCAGGCTCCGATAGGAGCTGCTGCCGAACCTGTTCTTGCAGCAGAGCCTCCACGGAAACCTGTCGTGGAGGCATTGGTGCAGCCTTCATTGGTGCAGGCTCCTTCTTTGGTGCAGCCTTCGGCGGTGCCTTGGGCGGTGCCTTGGGCGGTGCCTTCGGCGGTGGTTTGGGCTCGTTCACCCAATCTTTTGAACTTGTTGGTTTGGCTTCTGGAGACTTGCCATGTTCCAGCCAGCTAAGCCAACCACGCCCTCGCCCGCTTGGTTTGGCATTCCAGGAGCCTTTTCCTTTGTTCACTTTGCCCTTTGAAAACCCTTTGGCTTTTGGAGCTGCTTTCCACTTGCCCTTTCCACCCTTTTCATTCCCTTGCGGTGGCTTGGGGGCAGGCTCAACGGAAACTATTTGACAGTCATCATCATCAGAAGCGCTTTGGTTTGACGCCTCTGCGTTGGAAGCCAAGTCACCTTCCTTAGCCTTGTCGGCCTGCTGAGCATCGGCGCTCGTCGCTTCCATAGACGCGCTTGGATCCTTCGGGTCGTCGGTGCCATGCGCATCACCATTAGTATCACCATGCCCGGCCTCACTTTCTTCTTCAGTGCCCCAATCTACTTCATCTTCTATTCTACTCTTCTCTGGCTCAACTTTGCTAGCCCCGTCCACCAAGGCAGCCTTGGTCGGCTTGGCAGCCTCAGTCACCTCGGCAGCCTCGGTAGCCTCTGTCAAATCTCCAAGGTCTTCACTAATGTCCTGGTATGGGTCATACAGACAGCCCTCAGCACCATCAGCCTCCTCCAAAGCCATTACAGCTTGAGCCAAAGGGACTGCCGAAAGAATTATATAAATATGATTTGACTCAGAGCTGCACCGGCTTCTCCTATATAACAGTCACCAACATGGTACATTCCGTGCACACACAAACTTGTCAAGTAATCAGTCAAATGCAAAGCAATGCATCTGTATTGACTCGTCTGGGGCTTCGGCCTCACGCTGACAGGTGAGCTGCCGAACGGGTATGGCGACACTACGACTCACTACGAGAAAACATAAGGAGGAGCGCGAACGAGAAATCGCAAATCTCTGGAGGCCGAAAGGATTTCGACACCATTCGGCAAGGGCGAATTCTCGAAGCTGGAAGCTTCGTTGAATGCCCCTTCGCATCTGAGCATGCATAGTGCCATATTGTGAGACCACGTTTGGAGTGTCCCTACTTGTTTCGGGTCAGATGAGCCTGAGTGGCTGAAAATTGCCATGTCCTTCTCTTCCCCTTGAAGGGGTCTTGGAAGTGGATGGATGAGCTCCGCGGTCAATGGAGTACTTCGCGGCAGGCTCTGCACTTTCTCTTGAAGTTTCCTGCCAAGTGCAGTGTCACTGCCATCCATGGCCACAACGGTGAAAATCCGGCGACGCACTGCACCTCGATGCTTGGTTCGAGTAAGCAGTTCCTGGCCAACGTAGCAGCCTTTGGAAAAGGAGACGAAGTTCAACAAGTCTAGATTCCCGTGCAAAGGCATGACCTCGTCGATCTTCAAGTCTCCCGGACCCTCAGGAACACCACAGCAAACTCGCCAGAAATGGTAGTCGGACAAGCTCGCACTTGGAGATGTCGGGTGCGATGCAGGCAGAATTGCACGGTGCCCCAGCCCTTCAAAGCGTGGATCTGCAAAATAATCTGAAGAGTCCATCTCGGCACTTTGGGTGCCTGCCAGGGGCCAACGACTCAATTCCGACCATTTTCAACGAAAAAACTTTAAAAAAGCGCGAGAAGTAGGTGCTAGTGCTACCGAAACAGTTTTACAAAGAGCTCCTGACTCATCTGTAAAGGCTTGCCCAGGCAGCAGCGCAAGCGACTGGTAGCCTGCAAGTATACGGTTTTTAGTAGGTGCGGGGTAGCTTGATGTATGTGCAAAATATATATGTATGTGACTGTGTATATATATATATATGTGTGTATATATATATATTACATATATACTGATCGGTGTTCAAAAGGCTTGTCTTGCAGTGGTGTTCACAGCTTCCCGCAAATGCTTCCAACCTGACCTGAAGCTTTCCCTTGTGTTAGGGGACAGGTGGCCGCAACCATCCTTCATCCAACCGCCTTTCTCTCCATAGCCTTCCACAACATCTTTCACGACAGAGTGTGCAGATAATACTTGTCTCGATCTGGTCTGGGAGGCCTTTGCAACTTCCTTTTCCTTCCAGTCCATAGGCCTGACTTTGTTTTGATTTGATTTCATGTCTGTTTCCGCAGTGTGCCCGTCCTTGCATTCACATGCCCTACGCACGCGTTTGTACTACTGTAATGCAAGACTAGAGGGAGGGACAATTGTGCCCGTGAGCGGACTGGCCTTTTGAAACATCATCAATGGTGAGAGGCTCTCGCAAACGGTGCCGTATCAGCAGCCGGCGCAAGGAAGCACTGACTGAAGAATGGCAGTCCACCTTAGCGCTTGTGGTCAGATCTGGCACTCTACGACTCTGTGACGATACTCTCTGACACTGTGACACTCAGGCACCATACATCGCAGTCCACTATTTTGACCTATCCTGGTCACATCGCGGTCATCTTGTGATTGTGACCTGAGCTTGGCACCAAGTATTCGTTGGTATCCTGTCGCTTCACCATGGCATCGCATAGCACCTTGCCCTTGGGCGACAGAAAAGCCGCCGGCAGCACCTCGTCCAGCCGAGTTGAAGTGCGTCGAGCCTAGTCCAGCCCTGTTCGTCGAGTCGAGTCGAAGGCCGAGGCACCGAAGGACCCGAGACGCTGAGTCGCTGCACGTCCTGGGTGCAAAGACCTTGCAAAAAGCGGTCACTGCCCTCGCCTGTCAAGGGGACAATCCACATGGACCACAACGGCTGGTTTGCCATGAATCTTGAGACGATCCATGGGTCCATATATATGGTTTGAGACACACAGCCGAAACTTAAGTTTTTGCACCTGCAACCCGCAGAATCGCCCGGTCTGTCAGAGCCACCAAGCGAGGGGCCAGACCCATCGCGATACAGGACTCAAAGTGCCGTTCTATGTTAGGCAAAGTCCCAGTGGAGTAAATCTTTGGAGGGGAAAGAAGTGGAGGGAACATTGGGTGCTGGTGTGTAAAGACGCGACCCCATGGCAATGTTGCTTTAGAGAGAAACCTCATAATAGGTGTAACTTTATAAGTAATAAAGCCGTTCAAGCAAACCAAGGAGCCGCTACCCCCAAGCTTTCAGGGTCACGGATGGAGATCCTGAAAACTGCTACAGATGCTACAGGCTTGACAGCCAAACTGCGAGCCATACGACACCTCTCAAATGATCCATCAACAAAATCGTGAGTTCATTGAGCGCGCAAAAGGTGAGACCAATAGCCTGAACCCATGGAGCTGCCCGTTCAATAGATCCACAATGGCCGGGCTTGGCCACCAAAGTCGCACGCTGGCTTGTTCCACCCTGGCTTGGCCCCCCTGACCTCAGCACCTCATTGCTTTTCGCTCGGGCTCAGCAGTGGCCATTCTTTCCATCTTTTGCATACTTTAGCGAAGACTTGTTGCCTCATTCCTCCCATAGCTTGCTTACAGAAATCTTCCGGCACACCGAGATTTTCTGCGCACGGCAAACCGGAGAGCCGAAGCTGGTGAACCATCGGAGCTTGCGATCACTTGGCCGTCAGCTGTGAGAAGCAGGTCCCATCGGACCTTGCACATCGATCGACCCAAGAAGCTGGTCCAATGCAGAAGAGTATGACAAAGGGCCTCTCTGTGTTTTCATGGCCTAAGTCGAAACAGTCAGCCCCCAGCTCCCAACAGCATGCAAAATGCTGAAATGCTGTTGACCCGTACGTCATGAGGGAAGCTACCTTTTGCCCGGAAACCAAGAGAAGTAGGGTCTCGGACTTGTCTAAGCCTCCGGGGATAGTAACAGTGCTCTTGGTAGGGTTGTCAGTGGAAGCTGAGTTATGGGATCGTGCTTAAAGGCTTTCAAGCATAGGTTCCACATCCACACTCTTACTCTTCACAGTTCACAGCCTTGAAGGGCAACAAAAGACAAATGGTGAGGTGAGGTTGCCAGTGCCCTTAAAAAATATGTTTGCCATCAACTGAGATGCCTGGGGAGGAAAGTGAAGAGGAGCAAGCTACCTCAGCACGGCTTGGATAAGTATCACGCAGCTCCTAACACAATCCGGTGGAAGGCTGAAGTGGGCAGTTCAAGCAATCCACGGAACGCAGAGATTGTCACTTTGCTGGGGCCCACACCCAAACATATTGACATCATCGGAGGGCCTTGTTTGGTATGAAAGCCAAAGCCGCTGACAAAATTCAGCCAGCCCAAAATGAGATGATCAAGACTTCAGCAGTGTTCAAACAACTGTACGTTTAAAGTTCACCCTTTTCTCACCACTCTCGCAACGTGTTGACATGTGTCCACATGTGGGCCTTCACTGTGGAAGGCAGGCATCTGACGGGCCGGCATCTGTCCACTAAATGCCCTGCACACGCTCACTTCTGGAGGAAGGTGAGGAATTCGTCCAATGAGCAGCTGTCACCCTTGATGCCCACTGCAACTGCTGAATCGCCTCCTTTCATGATCTTGTCGAACGTGTCGGCTTTGATCTTGTCACCAACTTCGCTGACCAAGTGGCGGAGGAAGGGGACCTGAATTCGACCAGACTTGTCCCCAATGATGCCTTCATGGCACAGCGTCCCCACTGCTGAATAGGCATCATCATAGGATTTCACATAGTTCTTTCCATGCTCCTCCACCCAACCTTGCATTGTCTTCAAGGACACCGGCTTGCCCATGCCATCTACCTTCTCCAACTGCTCGCGTATCCCCTTTTCCTCGTCACTGTAGATCGTGAGCCCCATCGCCCTCAGAACATAGGGGGCGCTAGAGAGATCCAGCAACTTGGTCTTCCGGTCGCAGAAGTGGGGGAAAACATCCTTCAGCTCAAACTGCTGTGTGAAAGGTTCCTTCCCTTTCTTCGTGGCCTCCTTGGCCTTCTCGGCCGTCATTGGGACTGGCACTCTGGTACTCCAAACTTGGGGCACCAAACACACCTTGAGCCAGCTGCCAGCAAGGTCAATAGGGTCGGAATGTATCCAGAATCCAGAGCTTGCTGTCTTCCTCTCATAGGTTCACGTGCCGGGCGGACCAACAATCAATCAAAAACATAAGAGACTTATTTGCATGGAATAGCTAGGCGGTGGACTCTGCTTGCGGGGCAAAAGCACTGCTAGTGTCCAAGCCTGCCAACAACAAGTCAGCCAACCCGATCAAAGCAGCACGCTGGCCACTCCTGCAGAGGACATAACAGCAGCCGCCGCTTGGTCCATTGGGGGTGGTGTGGCCTTGGAAGAGTGTTGTGGAAATCTGCCACGAATTTGTAAGGAACTTCATCACATCCTCTCTAGGACTCAGACCCAGCCAAAGCGGCAAATTACTGCTGTGATATTGTCACCTGACCAAGCGGAATCAATGCTTCACGTTGGACAAACCTCGGCTAGTGTGAGGCAAGGCGCGGCTCCCCTTGCGAAGGGCTGCACTGACCACCTCCTTGGCAGCCCTGGCACCAACTTGCAAGCACCAAACCATGTTTGTTCCGATGCAGTCATTGCCTCACTGCATCTTTACCCTCGCCAGCCATGGCACGCCAAATGATGTCAGCCACCTCCTGGTGTCGCTGGGGGCGTTGAATCTGCTCCTCTCTTAGAATGCTTTCAAACAGCATCATTCAGCAATTTAGCCGAAACCCTAATGGCTCTCCACTTTACTTTCGTACATGTTCACTCTCATTCATTAGAGCTCACTGGTAGCTTTGCCCAGCCTGGTCGGAAAGGGCATCGAAGATGCCATCACTGCCAATCATGTAAGCCCAGTCCTCAGGCACCTGCGTGACGACCCGCGCAGCGCCACACGAGACGCCCCAGGGTGATTCTCTGCGGGGCGCACCAGGTCTACAACCTTCACGTCCGGGGTGACAATCACCTCCAGCTGGTGCGTTGGTGTCCCTCTCAACTCCCTCTCAACCGTGTCCAGTCTCCATTAAGAAAAAGACCTGTACCATTGTGGAGTTCAGGATTCGGTCCTACAGAAGTTCCTAGAGAAACAACACCATGCCACTTGTAACCTTTGACCCCTTGTCAAAAGACCGCACAGCAAGCTGTGTCTCTGTCTGGATCGAAGGCCCCCAGCAATCGGATCCGGGTGCTTGAAGGTGGGATCTCCAAATCCTCTGCATGTGGAGAGGAACCTCGGCAAACGAAGTCGCGGTGTTTTTTCGCTCCAAGTCATGGCCGGAAATCTCCATCCCTGAGCTTCCCAGCCACATCATTTGCTGCGACTCTTTCTTCCCCTAAAGGCTCTGCTTAAAATATGGCATCTATATATATATATATACTATGGTCGATCACACTTGGATAAGTTTCAATGGTATCCCACAATGTTTCACAGCTCTTTTCACTGTCCCACCTTCTGTAGCTCTTTGGCCAACTTATTGTCTGGCCGAGGCCTGTGGCTAAAATGTTGAAGAAGAGGGGAGATGAGGCCAGTGCAGAAATATTCCAAGTGCCCTGCCCAACACGCCACACTTTGTGCGCGTCGCGGACTACCAGGCCACCAGCTTTCTCAATCTGACAAGGTGCGGACAATTAGCATGAGCGCGTTGAGTCATCCCGAGTCATCCAGGTCATCGCCATCTTCCCAAACCCAACCCTGCGAAAGACCAAAAGGTCTTCAATTACATTACAGGTGTAGAAAAGAACTGTCTTGAAGGTCCCGATAGTAAAGTACGTAGGTCCCCATAGTGCGGTCCATTCCCCTCCCTAAGATGAGGTGAGCCCAACGGCCCAGCAGGAAGGGGGAGTGACGCAGTGTTCCAATTCTACGTCTGAGGCTCCAGGCCCGTCGCTTTTCATCAGCACCTGGCTCTTTCCATGTCTCACAGAATGGGACAGTGTGCACAAGACTGAGGCACGTTGAGGCCGATGATCCTCAGAGATGCGCAAGCCCTGACCTAAGCGATAACTTCGTAATTCTTTCCAAGATGTTCAAGTGACAAAAGCCATAGTCGCAAACTGTTGCAATCCAATGGCAAGAGGTCAAGGAATGCAAGGACCTTTTCACGGCAGCGCTGTGGCTCTCATTTGGCCATGGCTTCGGCACTGCTGAGCAATGCCTGCCATTCCCCCCTTTTGCAAGCAGCCTACCCCTGACTACTTTTGTGCAAAAGGCTGCTTGACCCTCACTCAACCATCCTCACTCAACCATGTCAGAAGCTGCAGCCTCTGACTTCTTGCTTTGGGCTCGTTGCCGCTTGAACTCAGCAAGGCTCATTCTCTTCGTGCTGGTAGAGCAACTAATGGTTCCCACTTCAAGCATCGCGGCCATGTCTGTTACCCGGTAGGTCTTGCCATCCATCTGGAACGTCGGCCCTTCAGGACCTTCTTGGATCGTCAGCTTCAGGACCTCATCGGCACTCTTGGAGCCTTCTGTAACTTTGCCTGACACTTGTGGCTCTGCAAGTTTCAGCTCCTTCACAGGAAGCTTGTGCTGCCCTTCGGACTCCTTCACAATCCGTCCACCCGGCTGTTCTTCGGAATCTGTCCACCCAGGGCGCTTGGTCGCTCTGGTCACCTTTCCGGGCGTCTCTTCCAAGGCGTACCGTGAGGTCCGGCCAGATCGCGCGGGCGTTCGATCCATGGGCCAAAGCTCAGAGAGGCTGCGCGGCGACGTGGGACTGGAGCCAACTGCATTTTTAAAAAAAGGACGACCACGGGCAACAGCACGTTCCCTTGCTCTCCATTCAAGGTCTGGAAGTGACTTTTTCACCTGAATCCAAGTTTCGGACGACCTCTGAGCAACACTGCTCGACAGTCACCGGCCCACGCCACAAACAGCTTCGCAACCTCAGGTCCAATGTCACAACACTCAGCAAACATATGCACAAATCCGACAGGTTGGCTTAGCTGGCTTAGCTCCTCACGCCTCCAAGAGCTCTGGCCTCATATATATATATATATACCGTATGTATTCTTGCTTTGCACGCACCGCAGCTCATGCCGAGCTTGAAGCCACTGTCCCTGGTTGTTTCTCAGGAACTGGTTCCTCCTGTGCACTGACTAGGATTAGCCTAGACGGGACTTGGTTCAACACATGCAAAAACTCTTCTCGGCCCATGTGGCTGCTTGTCCCAGCTGCTGGTCTAGCTTTGTTGTTGCAAACTGTGCTGTCCACTGAATGGAGACATCTCCAGTCCAACAGCTCCTTGGGTTTGGGCCACAATGCTGCACAACCCGTGGGAGCCTTCGCCTGCAACACCGCAGTCGGCTACCGCCAACAGGATAGCAGTCGGCTACTGCCTGCACTGGGGCTGTGAAGCCATGAGACACCAGGGTGACAATGCCTCGGCTGGAGAAGGCACCCAACTCGCAACTGGAGGTGGGGCCTAGTAGCGATGCCCTTCTTTTTAGTTAGTAGCTTCTTGCAAGAAGCTATTAGTAGTAATGCCCTTGTTACTTGTGGCGATGCCCTTGTTACTAGCAACCAAAAATGGCCCGGTTCATCCATCTCTCTAACCGTTATAGCCGGTGCCTGTGGAGCCCTCTTGGGCATCTTTCTTCTTCGCAGCCTGCAGCCAAGCCTTGACAAAATGCCGCGGTCTCTTAAAACAGATCATTCCAATTTTTTCACGCTGCCAAGAACTGTTTGCTCAAATACTGTCCCAACGGTACTCCATCAGTTTTCAGCAACTTCCACACACTCACTCACACACTCACTCTCACTCACACTCACTCACTCACACTCACT